TAAAAAAGGTTAAAAATTGCCGTGCCTTCTTTAATAACACTTTACTGAATGCAGATCAAAGGGCAGTAACAACGCAGATCGCAGTAACGCTTGTTTCTCCGACAGTCGGAGTCCGACTGAACTTAAAAACAACAAAATTCAGGAGCTTAAACTTTTAAATGCAAATTTGGCTGCAGCATCTAACAAATAAGAAACAAGTCCCCATTTTGTTTAGTTGTTTAAAATCAAGCATAAAAAATTACATGTACCGGGCGCGCGCGCGCGCCGGGGGGCGGGCGCACTATCATTTCACTTTCACACACACGAATGACGGTGATTTATAGCTCGGTCACATCCTTGTTACCTACAAGGAAAACCAGCATGTTAACTACGGTTTGAGAGAGGATCTGAGAGGGGCGGCAACATTTGCAGCAACACTGAAAAGCCTCTCGGATGGTGCGCTCGTTGCACTAACACACACGTACTTGCGTGCGACTCTGGCGAGCAAAGGGAATCTCCCGTTTGTTGCTCCACCATGTCACGGGGGTTTTCTTTAGGGTGGATGCATTCCTCCTGCAGGTAGCGAGTGAGCTCCAGCTCGGCTCAAACTCTCTTTGGGACGGCTGCAGAAGCAGTGCTTGTCCGGGACTTCAGCAGGTCTCCGAGCGTTTGTTTATTTATTTATTTGCCGATGGCAGCTCTGTCTCGGCCAAGGACTCTGGCTGCGCAGCAGCTGACGTACTGAAAACCAAAGCGCTCCCACAGGAGCGAAGTAACGTTTCGTTTTGATACCAGTGCAGCCATGCTTCTCAACATGCATCATTGAGTTGAACCAAGTTCAGTAATCGCGGTGGCGCATGATGCAGCGCGGTGGGCTTCTTCATATCGCGATATTTCATTTTTGCGGTTACCGCGACAGCCCTAACCTGCAGCATTTGTTATTCCAGTCCGCGTGGCAGCGGATCGCAGATTCAGCCACACCATAAAACAGCAATAAGTCGGTCTGAGGTAAAAGTGAACATCATGGCTATATCTTGTCCCCTATAGACATGTGATTAATACGCACAAGTAGGTGATCAGCTCAGGTTTATGCAGAGCAGAAGGAAGGAGAGCGCTCTGGCCGCACAGGTTAAACGTTCCTATTTTAACAGGGTGTCCGCGGGGTTTTAAAAAGTATTAAAAAGTGATAAATAAAAATAGTCAAATTTAAGGCCATTAAAAGTGTTAAATTTGGTCTCAGAGGTATTATTTTTTCCAAATTAGGTATTATTTTTTCAGACTATCAGATGTCGTATTCTGAACATCGTCATAGAAATATATTCCGAATGAAATGTGTTGAACGATTATAAAAACAAAGCAAGCCGATTATTTGCTCCTCCCACTTGCGCTGCCTTGAGTTGCAAATTAAGCACTCCTCCCAGTGTTGCCAAGTTAACTTAGCGACTTTGACGCTATTTCTAGCAGCTTCTCAGACCCCCTTCTTGACTTTTTAAATCTTAAAAGTACCTAGTGAACACCTCAGAAACATCTCTGGTAACCCTTAGCTACTTTCTGGATAACTGTTGTCGACATTTCCTGCAGGTTAGCTAAACACTCCGCCTGCACTCCGGACCATTCTTCAGGACATTAGGAAAGGGAATGATGTAGTGATGTGTCGGTCGCTAAAGAAACGGCTCTCGGAGCCGGCTCCCTGTTGGATTAACCAGAGTGAGTGACACACACCCGCACCTGCGGACTCCTGAGCCGATAAAAACGGCTAAATGTGCGCGTGCGGCGTGCTAAACACACGTGCAGCTTGCCCCTGATTGCTGTGAGACCGGGTTGGGGGTGGGGGTGCAGCTGTGGTTGGGACATTTATTACATTAACTGATGGACTTGTAAATAAATAGTTTATAAATAAGGTAGAAATAAGTTCCTCACGCTGATAAATAATAACTAATCTCTCTGAGGACATGGTGCTAGTGCACTCCTACAGCACCTTGACACGACTCAATAAATGCTATGCAACATTTAGTGGACAGCAATTTGCATGTATTTATAAATGCCACTGTATAATTCTTGCTGTCAGTATTTGCAAGATATTGGTATTTGGGTCTGTACTGGTTAGACTTAAATGAGTTAAACCAATGTCTACAGCCCTTGGGTCAAACTATGAGCTATAAGTATATTGGTCTTTTTATACTGGGAATCAGGAGTTCTTTTGCCCTGATTGTGCCCTGAGCAGTTTTATGACTGAATAAAAATAAAAAAATAAAAATCTACATAATTTGAAAAATCGTCTTAAATAATCGAGATCTCAATTTCAGTCACAATAATTGTGATGATTGTTTTTGCCATAATCGAGCAGCCCTGCTTTAGCATATCCGGTCACATAATGATGACGTCATATTCAGTGGTCGTTGTGCATCATTTCAGGCCTCGTGGTCGACTGTCTGAACCGCTGAACAGAAGTGCCTGGCTTATTTTCTAAGTAAAATAAATATGTGCAATACGTTGTCAACATCAGTGAGTCTCTAAGTCTATTCTTTTTGTATGTTATATATGTTAAAATATGTGTAAATAGGTCGCTGATTAACACTTGCAATTTAGTGTTGTGATGGTTTTAAAAAAATTCTGAAGGTAGTAAAAAAAGTATTAAAAAGTATTAAATTTTACTTAAGGATTGCTGTATATACCCTGTTTAAGAAAACCGTTAAATTGCATTCTTTATGTGCTACCTGGGCACTCTAAATATTTATTTAAAATGAAATCAAAGGAAATTGTAATGTATCGAATGTTTATTAATTGCTATTTAAAAAATGAAAGTGATGGGGCAGTGCCAAGTGTTCATTTTTTTGCTTTGTGTGTTCACAGGGCATGCTCAGTTGAAGTTTCCCTCTCTGCGCGTTCAAGATAAAAGAAAAATAATACGAAAGAAATGCAACAATGAAAACTTCAAAAAGGCATCAACAACCAAGCAAGTGGATCCATAAAATGGACTGATTTTTTTAAAGGCATTTTTAAAAAGTCTTTCAAAATGGACAGAATTAACGCGTTAAACATGTTCAGAACAGTTTGCGTTCTCATCTTTGATTAATCCTGGTAAACAGGTCTGTTTTTGTTCTGTTCTAATTCTCTCTGTTTAATACATTTAAACAAAATTACTTAGCTACTTTATTAACTTTTTTCTCTGCATAAAGACGAAGTATCAGTAAATAGTGGAAATTAAATGTATTGGTAGTAAGCAAATAGATGTTAAATGTTACTTGCAGTATGTGTTTATAGAGAAAATAGAGATACTAAAATTTACTAAAAGAATATTACGTCAAGTTTACTGTAAAGTGTACTTTCAAAACTGTAAGTATACTCAATTATATAAGAAGTACACTACAAGTAAACATATATTATTACTTTAAGTATAATTTTAAGTATACATTCAAAGAGAAAAGTATACTCAATTATTTCAAAAGTACACTGCAAGTAAACGTATAATGTTAAAGTTTATTTTTAAGTATACTTTCAAGGGCAAAAGTACTCAATTTTATTAGAAGTAAACTTATACTGTTACTTTTAAGTATACTTTGAAGGAGAAAAGTATACTCAATTATATCTGAAGTACTCTATAAGTAAACTTATATTATTACTTAAAGTATATTTTAAGTATACATTCAAGAAGAAAAGTATACTCAATTGTATGAAAAGTAAACTTATATTGTTACTTTAAGTATACTTTCAAGGACAAAAGTATACTTAATTATATCAGAAGTACACTCCAAGTACACTTGTGATGTTACTTTAAGTATACTTTCAAAGAGAAAAGTGTACTCAATTATATCAGAAGTACACTACAAATAAACTTAAATTATTACTTTGAAGTATACTTCAAGTATACTTTTAGTGGCCCAATTTAGACCCAAGGAGTATAATTCTAAGTAAACTTTAAGAACAAGTATGCAAATAAACTTATGTACACTTAAGTATACTTGAAATTAGATACTTAAAGTATACTTCTTTTTCGTAAGGGTTTCAGAAACTAAAGTTTTTGCAATGTTATACTAATGTTACTGCAAAGTAATATTAACCTTAAGATAACGTTTCAGAAACATTAATCTTCTGTTCCATTATTGTTTTGCTAACCTTAAGATAACGTTCCAGAATCATTATGCTGATGTTCAAGCGTTGTTTTGCTAACCTTAAGATAACGTTCCAGATACATTATACTTGTCATGTTCTGTGTCCCTTTGTTCCCCAGCCCCTCCAATTCCCACTCCAGGTTCTCCTTTTGTGTTTCATATCGCCCTCATATGTCCTTTGCATCTCATTTATGTGTCTCCTGTGTTCCTTTAGTCTTCTCCAGTCATCCCTCTGCAGTGTTTATAGTTTCAGCTTTTCATTTTTATTAGTCTCTTTAATATGTTTTGTCCCACCGGTTTTTGTAGTTCTCCTTCCCTTTAGAATTTTAGTTATATGGTTGCTTTTGTGTTTTTAGGTTCACTCTTAGGTCATGTTAGTTTCTTCCCTGATTAGTCATTGCTTTCACCTGGTCCTCCCCCCACACTCCACACACCTGCAGCTCATCTGCCTCCCATTATGCCCCAGTGTATTTAAGCCCTGTCTTGTCTCTGTGTCTTGTCGGTCCATTGTTGTTTGTTGTAATTCTGTCAAGTTCTTCTCGTGCCTCTAGTGCTTGGATCTAGTCTTCTCGTGCCTCTTGTATTTTTGGATCTCCAGATCTCTATCTGGATTTTTGGACTGTTGGCTCCCAGCCTTTTGGATTACTTTTGTTTTTTGGTTACTCCTAAAATAAAGGATTTCACTTTACATCTTCCCCAGCCTCGTGTCATCCTGGGTTTCAGCATATTTGGGTCCTAAACATCCCCAGATCGTGACAATACTGATGTTCCAGCGTTGTTTTGCTAACCTTAAGATAATGTTCCAGATACATTATGCCGATGTTCCAGCAATGTTTTGCTAACCTTAAGATAACGTTCCAGATACATTATGCCGATGTTCCAGCAATGTTTTGCTAACCTTAAGATAACGTTCCAGAAACATTATGCTGATGTTCCAGCAATGTTTTGCTAACCTTAAGATAACGTTCCAGATACATTATGCTGATGTTCCAGCAATGTTTTGCTAACCCTAACCCTAACATTCCAGAAACATTATGCCAATGTTCCAGCAATGTTATGCTAACCTTAAGATAACGTTCCAGAAACATTATGCTGATATTCCAGCAATGTTTTGCTAACCTTAAGATAACGTTGCAGAAACATTTTTCTAGCCTTTAGATAACGTTCTGGTAATGTCAGGCTAACGTTTTAGCAATGTTTTGCTAATGCTGCAACAATGTTTTTCCAAACATTAACAAAATGTTCCGGTAACATTGTAGCAGTATTGCAGCCATGTTATGAAAATATTCCGGGAACGTTATGCTAATAATCAAATAACGTTTCAGTAACCGTTCCAGTAATGTTATGCTAATGTTCTGTTAACATCACGCTAACCGTAAAATAACATTCAAACAACTTTAAGCAAACATTCCAGCAATGTTTTTGTAACGTTAACACACCATTCCAGTAACATTAAAAAAACTGGACATTTCTACGTTTTTACAACATTCAAAGTAAACATTCCCATAACGTTCTGTTAACATCATGCTAACCGTAAAATAACGTTCAAACAACTTTAAGCAAACATTCCAGCAATGTTTTTGTAACGTTAACACACCATTCCAGTAACGTTAAAAAAACTGGACATTTCTACGTTTTTAAAACATTCAAAGTAAACATTCTCATAACGTTCTGTTAACGTCATGCTAACCGTAAAATAACATTCAAACAACTTTAAGCAAACATTCCAGCAATGTTTTTGTAACGTTAACACACCTTCCAGTAACGTTAAAAAAACTGGACATTTCTACGTTTTTAAAACATTCAAAGTAAACATTCCCATAACGTTCTGTTAACGTCATGCTAACCGTAAAATAACATTCAAACAACTTTAAGCAAACATTCCAGCAATGTTTTTGTAACGTTAACACACCATTCCAGTAACGTTAAAAAAACTGGACATTTCTACGTTTTTACAACATTCAAAGTAAACGTTCTGTTAATGTCATGCTAACCGTAAAATAACATTCAAACAACTTTAAGCAAACATTCCAGCAATGTTTTTGTAACGTTAACACACCATTCCAGTAACGTTAAAAAAACTGGACATTTCTACGTTTTTACAACATTTAAAGTAAACATTCCCATAACGTTCTGTTAATGTCATGCTAACCGTAAAATAACATTCAAACAACTTTAAGCAAACATTCCAGCAATGTTTTTGTAACGTTAACACACCGTTCCAGTAACATTAAAAAAACTGGACATTTCTACGTTTTTACAACATTCAAAATAAACATTCCCATAACGTTCTGTTAACGTCATGCTAACCGTAAAATAACATTCAAACAACTTTAAGCAAACATTCCAGCAATGTTTTTGTAACGTTAACACACCATTCCAGTAACGTTAAAAAAACTGGACATTTCTACGTTTTTACAACATTTAAAGTAAACATTCCCATAACGTTCTGTTAATGTCATGCTAACCGTAAAATAACATTCAAACAACTTTAAGCAAACATTCCAGCAATGTTTTTGTAACGTTAACACACCATTCCAGTAACGTTAAAAAAACTGGACATTTCTACGTTTTTACAACATTTAAAGTAAACATTCCCATAACGTTCTGTTAATGTCATGCTAACCGTAAAATAACATTCAAACAACTTTAAGCAAACATTCCAGCAATGTTTTTGTAACGTTAACACAACCGTTCCAGTAACATTAAAAAAACTGGACATTTCTACGTTTTTACAACATTCAAAATAAACATTCCCATAACGTTCTTACAACAAATTTTTGTTAGCTGGGTGATTCCGATTCTTTCAAGACATGACATGTTTTATATGAACCAGCTAACCACGGGTCCTACTTGATGAAATAATCTTAACTTCAGCATGAATTTTAATTCTATGAACAATAACATCGCCTTCATTTAGACAAAAACGTGTTTTGGAGACAAAAAGAAAAAGACTTGCAGCACAACCAGTGTGTTTGTTTCTGACCACAACCAAAGTCAGGAAGCAGCCTCTGGGATGAGAGGCTAAATGTCTCCAACATATCCAGAAACGTCCCGCTGTTTTCAGCTAAAACTCTCAGGATGATCATGTCCAGGATGACTGAGAACTACACCTCCATGCTGCAGCAGCATTCAGTCAGAACAGAAAGTGAAACTTAAATGTAGCTGGCTGCGTCTGACTGCTGACGCTCCGTGTGTGTTTTTATTTCTGCAGTGAGACAAACTCGCCTCGCACCATCCAGAGTTTGTTCTTTAAAGCTTCTATTAAATCCACCGTGTTAATGTATTTTAACAAGTTTCCTCTATGCTGCAGGAGTTAAACTTTACATATTTGGCCGCTGTGGGCCAGGTGGGGGGAGGGGGGACTCAGTGCTGCACACAGACAGCTGGTGTGATCAGCTCTGAAAAACGTTGCTCACAATTTACAGATTACATTTATTTTTCACGGAGATCGACCGCGGATTCCTCTTCCGGACGGCATTCTAGGAATCAAAACTAGGAATCGAAATAAAAAACTTTGAACGATTCCGGGAAAAACTAACAGTTGGAACTAGTTCCAATCGATGCTTGATGCCCAACCCTAAGTGACAGCTGTGGCCCCCAGACTCTGGAACTCTCTCCCCCTGAGCCTCAGATCATAGGACTCAGTTGTCTCTTTTAAAAAGCAGCTGAAAACTCACCTGTTCAAGATGGCTTTTGTGCGACCTTTGTCACCACCATTTCTTTATTCTGCTCTTCCTACGTATTCCACCTTTCCCAGGATCCACTGCTTTCCCTCTTTCATATTCATTTTCTCTCTCCCTTTCCTCACATTTTTTAATCACAATTTTTCATTTATTTCTCATTTTAAACAAAAATGTATTCCTTTTTTGAAATCTTTTTTATATCTTGCTTGTTTGTTTTTGTGAAGTGCTTTGTAAGTTTTATCTTGAGAGGCGCTATATAAAAGATCCTTTTCTTTGTCTCTTACCCCTCCTTTCCACCAGATACGAAAGTGTTGCAAAAAGGCGACAAAACGTACTTTGCTGCAATTATCCACCATTGGTGGACAGGTTCCTTTCCACTGGCTGTTAAGTGTCACGGTTTAGGGTCCCAGAAGCATAGAACGAAAGAAAGAACATGATATTTTCTATAGCGCCTCTCAAGATAAGTCACGAGGCACTTCACAAAAACAAAATATTTAAAATATAAAAAAAGAACTTTAAAAAATGATTAAAAAGATGATTAAAATAAGCAAAAATAGGCAATTGTTACCAAAAAAATGCAGAGAAAGAGAGACACATTTACGTTTCAAGTAGGGACGTCCCAATCCGACTCGATCGGGACTCGGGATTTACTTCCCGATCCAAGCCCCGATCCGGACTGGATACTGGGTTCAAATTACAGGAGAGCAACTTGGTTTTCCTTAAAGGTTGACAGGCTCCCCTGATGGCCTTAACTTACACACCCAGAAGGAGCACAAAAAAGATCCACTTTCTACCCATATTATATATATTATATGGACTCAGAGTAGTGGGGATTCTTTTGAGCAGAGATGCAGAGAGCGGCAGGCAGACAGCTGATTATTCATGAACTCCAGCTACGTTCTGCACACGGCCACAGTAACATTTTCTACGTTTCTAAGTGGCGTCACCAAAAATATATATAATTAACACACAGTCGTTCGTGTCCGATCATTTTCTCGCTGGTATGTTCTAGCTGTAAGTTCTGTCTGTACTTGAGCATGACGTGTGGACGTGCTCACGCTGCAGCGCTCGTCACTGGCGCAGCCAGGCAGCGTGGTGCACACCGCTTTTATTGCGGTCAATAGATCAACTTGATCTGCTAGTTAAAAAGTTACTTGTGAGGTGAAAAAGTAGGGAGCAGGCAGGAGTTTTTCTGGAGGACTGGGAGATGCAGGAAGATCAGAGACAGACAGGACAGGAAGATAGGAAAATAAAAACCAAGAAAACAAAACAAAGTTCTTAAAAAAATAAAATCTAGGTAGATTGATCCCACTACACGTTTGTACCTGTATAAAGCAATAATTTATCAGCATGTAGTATTTATATAGTTGATACAATTCAGATCATCTTCAAAACTCCGTCCCATGCCCAGGGGCGTATCTAAGCATTTTGGGGGCCGAGGCAAAATAGACCCCTGTCAGGTATTTTAAGTTGAAGTGCTATCTGCTTTTATATTAGACTTTATATTTGCAATAAAGGCCAAAAGTGAATAATTTATGTTATTTATTACTTGATTGTTCAAGCTAACCTCACAGAAGTGATCTGTTGTTAAAAATAAAAATAAAAAGGTAATTAAATAAAAAGTAAGGACATTTCTGGAACTGGTTCTTCCTTTTCTTTCTTTCTTTTTTTTTTTTTAGGTATCCAAAGTATCAGATTGGTACTCGGTATCCGCAGATTCTCAAAACCAAACGACTCAGACTCGGACTCGAGGGCAAAAAGACCTGATCGGGACATCTCTAGTTTCAAGTCTATTTTTTACGATGCTACTCTTCCAGAATACGTCAAATTCCACAATTTTGTGCATGCCAGACAGGAGGTCAAATAAGAAAGCTGTGTAAAACATCTGGAAACTTTCAAAATAAAAGTCAAGTATAGATTTCCAGTTGCTTACATAGTGAAAAACATACATACTTTTCTGTGAAACCTCCTAATATGAGAAAAAAAGAACAGTAAATAAACCACAGACATTTTTGATATATGCAGTCATCTTTCCCCTTGCTCGTTGTCGTTAGCCTGGCCTGCCAGGCTCCTCCTCTGTTTAATTTACTTAAGAGAAAGGGTCTGGGAACTCTCCTATTCAAATAACCCCACCCCGTGAGAATTCTAACCGAGCCAATCAGCGCTGAGTATCGTACGTCACACACCATAACGCCGAGCTTGTCGACCATGGCGACTGAAGTGGAGTTCGCTGTGGATCTTTCCTCTGTTCTAAATGACTTGAATGTCTTTAAAACCATAACAAGTAGAAGCGCTAAAAGGCTTTCTTCTAAAAAAAAAGATGTTTGCGCTGTTGCCAGATGCCTTTTTTTACTACAGCTAAAAACCTACAGCGTCGCGCGGTACAGTCGGCATTTCAGTCTTTTTTTCTGATTTGTCATTTTTGAGCTGCCTAGTCCCGCCCCTCATGTGCCGCTCTGCTTGTGAGTTACCAGACTCTTTCTCTGTGCAGAATTACGCAGAGGACGAGTCTTACAGGCCACGCTAGGTTATTGTGTGAACTTCCAAACATATATGTGATGATACAATTCTCACAGATTTTTTTGACCTGATGGGACAAGATGTGTGAAACACTTTCACTCCCTTTTTGCGTCCAAAAAGTTGCCGATTGGAAAGAAACTGATCAGTACGATGCCTTATGTAAGACTTTACAATCAGGGTCCCTTTATTAACGTTACTTAGTACATTATTAAGCAATAATAAACTATCAAATAAAGTATTAGCAGCTGCTTAATATTAATCTTATTAAGTAAAGCATTACTAAGCAGCCTCACCCCTGGCCTTTTGTCCTAACCTTAAGGACACTTAACAGTTCACAATATCAGCAATGTTAATAATGGAAAACTTTGCTGATTAATGCCTAATAATGCAGTAAGTAACATCAATAAAGGGACCCTTATTGTAAAGTGCTACCACCACCTCTACCCACTCATGCGTCTGGTGTAATGAAGGAGTTACATAATTCAAATTAATCTTTATTTAAACATTTTATTTCTTAGCTTTCGTCATTTAGTACAAACCACTGCCGAGGATTCATGACGCTACAAGCTGCCAGTCAAACCTTTCCTTCCTTATAAATCTACTCTTCAAAGTCATGAGATAGACTTTCGCCTTGCAATAAGTATATAGCACCTTTGATCTGGAACACGACGTAAGCCTCCTCTGGCTCTCTGCACTTAGCCCTGTTGTGTAACAGCTCTTCACCTTGTTTACAAGTCAACAACTTCATTTTACACCGACCTTAAGATCAGGGCTCCAGAAGAAAGAATGAGAAGCAGCACAATCCATTGTTCACAGAGCGACAGAGCTGCCCACGTGATGCTTTCAAACGTGCTACACTATTTCATCAACAATCACATTTGCCATCTTTTCGGCTTGCTGTAAGAAGGAGGCATGAATCAGGTGATGTGCAAGGAGAAACCTTTTGATGTGTGGAGATTAAGCGTTGTGAGCCAGTGGTACATACTTTAGTCTAAGAAAGTCAATGATAAATTTGGAAATTGTTAAATAAAAAAAGGAGAGAGAAAGAGATATTTAGCCATTTTGTATGAACAGCAAAGTAAACCAATAAGCAGATACATACTAACCAGTAGGTGGGCTTTGAATGTTTAAATATATTCAATGTGAATACTCCTAATATTTTTGTAAAGAGGATTTAATTAGGGTATATTCTCTTAGATGAAGTTATGTCGGCTGATAGGGCTAAACAGATAATAATGCTTTTAAACAACATTCAGTTATGTGACAATGTTTTGTTGGAGTGTAACTAAAGACAAATAATTTCAGTCGCATTATGAACATTACCCCTGAGACAACAAACAGACGCACTCTGAAATGGCGCTCAGATTTTTTCACAAAGCCTCACACTGAGGAATAAAGCCATTAACCACTTTTGTCTCATCTTTGAAATACAAAAGTAGCATTCCACACAAACCTGAACAAGCTGACGGCTCTTCTCACTCTAGGCAAAGTGCATCAACATGAGATAAAAACACTAGATGAAAAAATCCCCACAGACAGACACACCAAAGGCAAATGAACCTGAACAAAAACATTTTGATCACTTACCCGTAAGGTTTTTCAGACCCAACTGCCGCAGGCCAAAGTTTCCATCTCGCCTGTAATTGAGGAAGATTGCAAGGGAGTAGCGACCCTCGTACAGCTTGGTTCCTCGAATGATCCTCAGATTCTCCAAAGGCAGGTAGTCAAACTGGTTCAGAGCCACCAACACATAGCCTGTCACTTCCCGGATGGACTGTAGATAGAAATATGCATATAAAATACAGGTGTCAGTTCTTTTAGTAATCCCTAGTACTATCATACATAAAGACATTATGAAAAAAGGTCCTGCTGTTGCTGCAACCCTTCTCTGCAACATTAGCTTGCTCTCCCTATGCAAATCTCTGGGTATCACAATGTCTTTGCACAAGTGAAACAAATGCAGGGTTAGGTTAAATGTAATTGTACCTGGGCGTCTAACTTAATGTGGCTGTGGGATGGACTGGCCACCTGTCTACAGAACCACCCCCCCAACTCTATTGGCTGTTGGAAATATGCACCCACTCCCTACTTTGGGATGATAAGTTTTGCGAAATAATTTGATGTTTGAATCGAATTGCTTGAAAGAGAAAACCTTTTTTCAAGACAATAAATTGAAATGTCGGCGAACAATAAACAACCCCACAGGTAGAATTCGAAAACTTTGAATATGATGCAGACATTTTTCAGTAATTCAAATTAAAAGGTGAAACTATCATATGATATAGACTCATACATGCAAAGCCAGATATTTCAAGCCTTTATTTGTTATAATTATTAGGATTATGGCTTACAGCTTATGAAAACATCACATTCAAAATCTCAGATAAATAGAATATTGAGAAAATGTTCTAAATAGACTTAAAATTTACAGTAATAGACTTACAAGTGTCATGCTCTAATCAGCTAATTAATCCAAAACACCTCCTGAGACTTTAAATGGTCTCGCAGTCTAAGTAGAATTACTGAAAAAAAAGAAAATTTGAACTCTAATCTAATAAGTCTAATTCCTTAGAACTTATGTTGTCACACTGTGATTTACAAAAGTAAAGTTCTTCTCTTCATGCTAAAAAAGTAAAAATAAAATAAAATAAAATAAAAAATATGGATGCAAATTCCAAAAAAGCAAAAAAAAAAGAAGAAATACGGAGTCAACGTAGGCAATGTAATTGTCACATTCAAATACCAAGGAAGAAAGCTTGTCTATATTTGACATTTCTTTTCAATAACTGAAGAAAATCCAGAAGCCAATAATGCAGTTTGACTGCAGATAAATATAGTGTAAAATGTGTTTTTTTACTTAATGTTTTTCCAAGCGTGGACATGTGTAGAGCTGCTCGCTCAAGGCACACGGGTGTGTCTTATATTCCTTTACTTTGCATTATCGTGCTAGCACGAGAAGGAGAGGACTGATAAAAAACAATCATTTGGTGGTCGTAAGCAACTGAACAATAGTAGCAGCTTAGAGAAAACAAACACGTCATTTAAAATGAATAAACGCACACGTCACCATGAAAACACCTGAAGGGCTAATGAAAGAGGAAGGCCTGCACCAGATCAGTTAGAAGCCAAGGTCACTTTCCACACATTCAACCATGCCAGAGAGGGTTAAGTTAGAGCATTGGAGCCAGGAGATTTTACTTCAGTTTGTGACCTCCCTGGAAAACTTGGCACAGAGTTCAGCGCTCATAGCCGGGGCTCGGCCTGGGGTGACTGAGCCACAAGGACAACCATCGCTTCACACTTTAAATGTCATTTAGGCGGGGGCATAACGACTGTTGAGACATTGGCAAGGAGCCACGCGGTCAGAGCTGCTGTTGCGTGAATCAAAGTGACAGGCTGTGTCCTTTTCCCCCCATCCACCATCACGGTCTGCCATCAGCACACAAGTGGTCAGAGAAATTTCTCCATGCTGGCCCGCTTTATTCTAATAATCAAAACCTCTGTGTGTGATGTGCCGTTGCAAAATATGTATCGTGTCACAATAAATCCGAAGGAGGTCCGTGGTAGCTTAGTCGTGGCTGACAACAGTCAGATAATGTGGTCATCATGATGTCACGGCCATATTTAAAAGAGAAGACTCAGTTTGTGGAGTGTGTGTGTTTAAACGAATGCTTGCTTGCAAGTAATGTTATAGTTTTTTCCTTTGCCCATGCCTTTTTAGGGTTTAAGAACTTGCAAAAACAAAAAAAAAGGATAGTTTCTTTGTGTTTTGGGGTAATTCTTTTACTCAAATATCCGGATATTAGGGGGTCTTAAAGTTCAGCCTTCAAAAGCTACTAAATGATGGTTGTGGATGTGTATAAATCATGCTGAATAAAATAAAACAGCTGTTTTGATATGTCGATGTATTGTACTTTAGTGTGAACTTTAGGTTAGAGTCTTTTGGATATTTCATGTTCGTATTGAAGGTTTAAAGGTGCCATTTGTAAGAATGACATCCTGTGGTCAAATGTGGTTACTGCGGTCCAATTTTTAATAAAATAAAAAAAACTATCTCACTCGATTTCTATGACAGCTATTGGCTGTTACCAATAGAGTTATGAAAAAGGAGTCACACAGTGAGTTTATAAGTAGATAAATACATTGTCAAATCTCATGTTAGCATTCTTGAGTGTTTGATGGCAGGGAGCACTTAATAGACTTATTATGGTAGTTTGTCTCTGACATTTCAGGAAGTGTTGTTGTTTGTTGTCTTGCTGTTACGACTCATTATAGGAAGTAGAACACCACGATTGACTCATTATTCACTTCACACATAGATTTCACTGTAATATTGAGTTATTGGTAATTGAAAAAGTATCTTGAGATATTTAATGAGTCAACACTTTGGTTCTAATTTGCCATTAGCATTGATAGCGCAACATTAGCCTCTTGCCTGCTTCACTCAATAATGAAGTAAAACAAACAAAAAATGCCATGGCTTCTTAGGGGTGCAAGAAATAACTTCTAGGTCACTCCTGTTTACTGGTTTTGGTTCTTTAAATAATTCTAGAGCTTCTCGTCTGCCGGTGTTGAATTATAAACGTCTGTGCTGCTGCAGATTCAGCAACCTCACAAAATCACAGTTTTTACGGTTAACTACATCCTGTTTCTATTTTTTTCCCGAAAGGAGTGAAATTGACAACCACACAAACATCTGAGACTGAAATCTGTTTTAGCGCAACCTTCCTCCCAACATGATTCAGACATAAGACAGTTTAGTGATTATGACAGCAAAAATTTTACAACACCTTTAAAGATCTTTTCAACCTGCTACTACACCAAATAAGTCTATGTTCATACAAACACTGTCCCATGGTATATACACCTATAGACCAAGTTAGGGCTGGACGATAATTCAATAGTTCAATATATCTATCAATAGACATGTAGGGTTAAAGATAACAAAAGAGGGGTGATAAAACTTTGATTAAAAAAAGTTTCCTTTTTTCATTATACCCTATCAGGTAGCAGCATACTAGACTCACTACTGACTCCAAACCAATCTAAACCACAGACTCAGGCATAGTACTTCACCAGGCTCTCCCCTCTCAAGCCAAAACAGAGCGTGAGGTAGCCGCAGCAAGGTGGCTAGGGCTGCCACGATTAGTTGATTCGTCACAAGAATGCCAACAAATAAAATAGACCTTCTTTTATTTAAGAATGTTTTATCTCTCCTGCTGAGGCACGTTCGGTGTTTGCTTTCTGCCTTTCTGCTCAGCTGTTGCTTTAGCTCTGATGTGCGTGTGCATCCAGCTCAGCCTTCACCGGAGAAAGTGGCGAGTCGCAACGTAGCTGAAAAGTTTGGGAGAATTATACAAATTCGAAAGAAAGGCGGTAGAGTGCAATCTCTGCAAAGTGAAACTCTCCATTAACGGGAGCACATCGACGATGCAAGAGTATCTTCAGAGGAAGCACGAGAACAGTCACCTCGGTAAGATTACCTCTAGCTGCTAACATCAACCGAGTTACTTGTATTTATAGCTGTAGTGGCACCAGTAGTGGTGGTGATTTTATTACCTTTAGAACACGTTTGTATGTCACGTATTTTGCTCTAACTACAAACGCTAATGATTTATTTCATCCCACTACATTACAGTGTTAATAAAAGTGCTCCTCTTCAATGGATGAGCTTGTTACGTGCACACCTCAACAAGCTAACGTCTTGACTGAGGCCATTTTGAGCATGGTGGTCACATCCTGTCCATGGTCGGTATCAAGGTTTCAGAGGGATGATCAAGCAGCTCAACCCAGGTTACCACGACATCTACCTACCAGGCTGATCGCACTTCACCATGATGGAAAAGAAGACTTAAACAACTTTTAAGGTGTGTGTGTGTGGGGGGGCGTCTCAGTTTCTCCCTGGACACAAATAAAACAAACATTAGAATATGATGCATGATAAAATAAAATGGTTGCTGACTGAGCAATCAAGAAACTAATATATCTAAAGCATAAAACATTTTCTTTGTGTTAAATCTTAGCCTACATTATCAAATCAAATCAAATCGCTTTTACTGTCACGTCACATGTGCAGGTACACTGGTACAGTACATGTGAGTGAAATTCTTGTGTGCGAGCTTTACAGCAACAGTTGTGCAAAATACAATAACGTAAAAACAAGCAACATATAAAAATGGCTGATCTAAGTAATAATATATATAGTATTTAAGGTATATACATTCCTAAATGTGTGTGCTAAGCATTTTATTTTTTATTTTTCTACGTGTGTGCATGTGAGTGTGTATAATGCGTACATACATATTTAACAAAAGAATAAAGTAAACAATAAAATAAGAGATATAAAATATACAGAGGTTGGTATGTGCAAAACAGTGGTAATATTTTTAGATATAACATAACTATTAATCTGGTAAATAAACTAACTTAATATCTTTTATCTATATGGTAAAGCAGACCCTAAGAGCTGTCGATGGCCCCCTGACTGCTGACGTGTGGCCCAGCTGTGCTGCTGGCGTACCTTGGTGTGTTCCGCCATTTCCTGAGTTAAGATTGGAAAATGAAGTGCTTCAACCTTGCCACCATGCCTCTTGTGAACACAAGTCATTTTTGGTTTTAGGTGCCTACCTCCATTGTAGCATTTGTATTAACAGGTTATGAAGTTAAAGTTGTTTGATAAGCTATCATTTTTTCTTTATTATTAGATGGCCCATAGCTGATCACACTTTAAAGTAGAAGCTAATCTTGGGGAAATTAGAGCATCCTGGTGCAATA